TATATATATATATATATAATACATATGTAGATAGCTTGAAGCATGTTACTACTGTTGATGGGTTCTCATACATTTTATTCGAACCAAAAAATTCTATTATAATACAAGCATTAAAATCCAAATAATATCATCAAAATTTTTAATATATACTAACTTCAATGTTTCTTTCTTTTCTTTTATGATAATAGATGACCGTATAAATAAAAATTAGAATTTCAGTAACCGCGTAGTGAAGACAAAGAAGAAGGGTTCAAGTATTGTTTCAGTACGTTATTCTTATCCATTATGTTGATTTTTTTTGTAAAAAGTTTCTGGTTTTATGTCTTAATATATTAATGTGACAACATACTTTATCGAAAAAGTGTGCTTTCAGAGTCATTTTGTTTGTAAGACTAACTAAATGTACTATGTTAGAGTAAGATTTCATAAAAATAGTACACAACTAGATAGTAAATATGACACTAACCTTCAGTCGGTAGCCATACATGCCCTCATAATGATATCATCTGGTTAATTTTTCCTATACCTTCACTAAACAACAGATATCAAAGTAAACAATAGCAAATTTGAATACTTCTCTACTTCGAAAAATGGTAATATAAGTTTTCTTTCAGCCGAATCGGATATAAAATTTTTTACCTTCAATGTTCATATATATTTTGAGAAGCTTTTGTTTTTGAGATACGAACAAGATTTGGTTAGCTTTCTACTGCTTCGTTTCAACGAACATAGGAAACATTTTCTGCACACTTGGATTGTAAGTCACTCCTCTCCTTACATGGAATACGATGAATTTAAATATTAACTGGTAAACAATTGATAAGAAAGAGAACACACGACTGAACCAAGCATTAACATCTGAATAATTTTTTGAAAAGGATTATAAAGAGATCTCGATCGATGGACCAGTTGCTAGAGAAATCAGCCGAGTTCCTATTTCCTTTGTCTTCGAGGAGGACATTTTTTGGAGAATTCCTAATCAATCTACACGAGAAGCATTGATATATCGAAGAAATGGTATAGAATAAAGTATTTGGAGAATTTTATATCATCGATTGGTTGACGCAAAATAATCAATTTTGGGTGTTCTGAAAATTAACCCCCTTAACTGCAATTGTCAAAATGTCTGACGAGTAACATTTCTCATCTCTCCAACAAATGATTTTCAGACCATTGGATGCTATCATTACTATGGATATGTCATAGTAAAGGTCCNGGTATAGAATAAAGTATTTGGAGAATTTTATATCATCGATTGGTTGACGCAAAATAATCAATTTTGGGTGTTCTGAAAATTAACCCCCTTAACTGCAATTGTCAAAATGTCTGACGAGTAACATTTCTCATCTCTCCAACAAATGATTTTCAGACCATTGGATGCTATCATTACTATGGATATGTCATAGTAAAGGTCCAACATGAAAAGGATTATCCTATTTTATCCATCATTCATTTTATAATTTGAAAGGCTGTATAGAACGTCCGTCCATATACAACGTTCAACATTTTTATCATAATCAAAGCCCAAAATATGTTACGGTTTCACAAGTTAGATAATATAACATCATATAACGTTACTAAACTAATACTAAATAATGTTTTTTTCTTTGAACTACAGTACGAACTCTTACCCCGCGCATGGCGCGGGTCTCTACCTAGTATATAATATATGTGCGGTGCGCATTATTCTATAACCAAAAAACTCATTACGTGTTTGAGCATGTAACGAATATAGCTGCAGAAGAAGCATATCATTCCTTCACGTACTGAGACCACGATCGATCTTTGATGAAAGAAAATACAGACAAATAAAGATTAGTGACAAAAGTGAACAAGAAAAAGATAACAGAAAGAAAAAAAAAAAGAAGCTTTATCAAAGAGAGGTTTGGAGTAAAGAGCATTTGATTATACGGTCCACTAAAGAGCCCAACTCCATTGTATTATAAACTAAATGGGAGATTAAGGCTTTTGAAAGTATATCATGGGCCGTTAAACAAGGAAAAGAAGTACATAGCATGAAAGAATATACGCTCTTAGTAAAAAATCAAGGGGCGTTCCGAGAATTGAACTCGGGACCTCTCGCACCCTAAGCGAGAATCATACCACTAGACCAAACGCCCACTTTGGAATCAAATATCACTTTTAAGTAATACTATTAATAATAAACAATAATCAAATAATCTTGAAGAGGTGTAAGAAACATTGCAGGTAAACTTGAACTCTTTGAAGAGCTCTTCAACGATGGCGTTATGAACCATGTTAAGGACAAATTGGAAAATGAATTTGTTCTTGCTCATGCACGTCTTGCTGATGTGAAGGTTCTCAATCTCGATTGAGAAAAGTTAGGAGATCCACAAATATGGCGTTAAGTGATCTTTATCCCCATCTCTTATGTTTGAAGGTGTTATGGCCATGAAAATTTTAACTGTTGTCTGGTTTAGAAAACCTGTGTGTTTTTAATATTTTGATCTATTAAAAAGAACCTAATGTTTTTTATGTTACAAGGCTATTTGTCTTAATGTCTTTCGGATTAATGTTTTTCGAATTCTCGGTTTAATCACAAACTGACCTGGTTATGCATAATCCAATTAAAAGAATCAACTAAAAGAATAAATATACATCACATTCAAACATAAAGCTCTCATATAATACAAATCTAATCATTTCATAAATTTTCTTACAACCAAAACAAAACCCGCGCTTCTCAAACGTTGGTCAAAATCTAGTAAATACTTATATATAATCAGTTTTACAGTTGAACAAAAAAAAATCAGTTTTACAACCCTAGAATAATGTATTTTCTTTACAAGTTCAAATGTAACCCAAACGATCCACCTTATTATAGTAACACACATAACAGAAATCTAACCACTTATATAATAAGATAATTGGTAAACTCTTCCTCAAATCTAGGGGCAGGAAAAATAAACCGATCCGATCCATTAGAAATGAATTGGAACCGATCCATTAGAAATGAATTGGAACCGATCCAAATCTAACATAAATATCAAATGATTTTTGTTTTACGATATTTTGAGTTATGTATTTTACCTGAACCAAACCCAAAACTTCAAATTCCAAAAAGCTTTATGCCATATCTAATCTCAATTTATAATATATATCCAAAACATATTAAGATATTACTAAATATGTACAATAACTAGCCATTACATAAATAATTAACTTGAATGCTTAGTGCAATATATACTTAGCATTAATATTTTATGTTTGACACTGAATTTGAAGTTTAGTTATACATAAATTTGTTTTGAAGTTTAAATATTGTTGTTACTTTTAAGTTTAAATAATGTTTTTTGCATTTATAATTTTTTTAGTTATTAACATTAATATTTATATTTTATTATGTGTTATTTAAATTTATATCAGTTTATTAAGCTGATGTTCACATGATTTTTTGGTTAACAGATACTATGACACTAAATATAAACATCTAATATATTTGGATAAGTTTTATTTATTTTAATACATTATTAAGTAGCTTTTTATGGTATAATCAAATACAAAATAGTGTTTTAAGAACCAAAAACCTGATTAAGATCCAAACCTAAAATTATATCGTATTTAACCAGTTTTTGGACATATTAATAAATCTGAACCGAATCTGTTAAACCCAAACCAAACTTTTATAATATCTGATTGAGATTAATTTTCGTAAATCAAAAACCTAAAACTCGATTGGATCTAAACCGAAATCCAATTGGAATCCCGAATGTTCAATCCTACTCAGATCACTAAAAAAACCTCGAATTTACTAACTCCAGCGCATGAGGTTGATAGTTTAACTTTTACATGATCTTCCTTGTTTTTCCTCAAAAATCACAAAATTAACACTAACATAACCTCAATTGCGAGGTCTCTAAATCCAATCCCTTGCTGTGCGCCCTAATCTGCAATTAACCTCACCGGCTATAACCGGTAACCTAACCAATAAGCAACCTAGCAACGGCTGTCTTTGAATTATTTTTTTCATTATTATTCAATTTTATCATTTCATTTATATATTTAATTATAATGTCTCAGACAAAATAAAAGATAGCGAAGGACAAAGGAGATAATAAGAGAATGGTGTTTTTAAAAAAAAAAATAATAGGAGAAAATAAGATTTTCAAATTAATAGCCTTATTTAGTACTTTGTTATATTTTTGAAAGATAAATGTTTTGTGCTTAACACATATCATAAATTTCAATTTGATGATAATTATTTTTATTAATTTAAAAGTTTTTAGGTGAAATATACACTATGCGGTAATTGTACATAGATTATCTAATAAATATAGATTTTTTTAAAAATTATAAATCACTATATTATTAATTTACAGAAAATGTAAAAATATTAAAATTTTATCTTTTAGATGGAAACTGTTTTTTTTTTCAAAACATTATCGAAAGAGTATAATATTACACCATATTTAAGAAAATACATTACTTATTAAATATATATAGTTGATGAAAAGAAAACATTTAGTTAACAAATATCATAAGAGAAGTCATTTCTCTCATCTTCATCATAAAAAGATTAAACTCTCTCGTCTTATTAGTTTGGTCTGCAAATTTTCTGTTTAAAGTCTCTCTCTGCTATGTGTTTCCGTGTGCGGTAAGGAGGAAAGCTTGTTGCTTTGTATACTTCTGTCTCCACGAAATTTCGGTAACTCTCCGATTGATCTTCCTCTCAACCGTTTAAAAATTCCTTATCTCGAAGCGCCGTAATGTGCAAAAAAAAAATCAATTAAAAGATCGAATTTTGCAGCTTCATTATCGATTCAGCTTTGATTGTTCTCTAGCTGCTTAGATCTATTTGCTTGTTTTGCTCTTTAAGTTGAGATTGCCTCCAATGTTCGAAACATCAAAGTCTTCGACTTTACATGAACCCTTCAAAATTACAAGACTTTGGATGCTAAAATTTATGTAATCTTGCTCTGATCTATCTGCTAAATTTTTGTAATCTTGTGTTAAATGAAGCTCTGGCTAAATTTCAAATCATGGTGGGAGGAGGAAGTGCGCAGAAGCTGACTACTAATGATGCACTTGCGTATCTCAAAGCTGTTAAGGATAAATTTCAAGATAAACGCGAGAAGTATGATGAGTTTCTTGAGGTCATGAAGGATTTTAAAGCTCAGAGGTAATATTGTTTTATTTTTTTAGCTCTTTAGTTAATTTTAGGGGATTAAGTCTGATTTTGTTTTGTAAATTTTGTAGAGTTGATACTAGTGGTGTTATATTGAGGGTGAAAGAGCTATTCAAAGGGAACAGAGAGCTGATTTTGGGTTTCAATACTTTCTTACCAAAGGGTTTTGAGATAACACTCTTACCTGAAGAAGATGACCAGCCTCTCCCTAAGAAACCTGTTGAGTTTGAGGAAGCTATTAGTTTTGTTAACAAGATTAAGGTTAGAGACTGCACTTTTCATTTCTCTCTCTTTGCTATCTTTGCCTCTAAAGTTATTATTATTATTTTTGTTTCTGCAGACAAGGTTTCAAGGTGATGACCGTGTATATAAATCGTTTTTAGACATTCTGAACATGTATAGAAAGGAGAACAAGTCCATTTCTGAGGTCTACCAGGAGGTATGTTTTGTAGTTTTTTTTTTTTTTTTTTTTTTTTTTTTTTTTTATCATTTTTATTATGTTTTTGTTTTCATTTCTAGTCATAGTTTGATATGCTTATTTTGTAGGTGGCTATCCTTTTCCGGGACCATCATGATTTGCTTGTGGAGTTCACTCACTTTCTCCCTGATACTTCAGGATCTGCCTCTACTAATGATATTGTGAAAATGTCAGTACGTGACCGAGGAGGCATTAAATCTCTTCCCACCATGCGAGACTCTGATAAGGTTCCTCTCTTTGTTTTTTTCTTTCCTCTTGATATGCTACTGGATATCCTATACTCAGAGCTGTCACTTGTTTGTGCATTGTTGCAGAAGGATCATATCATTGCTTTGAATACTGACCGTGACCTCAAAACTGAACGTATGGACCCAGACCACGAGAGATCTTCGTTGAAAGAAAGTAAAGAAGACGTTAGACGCATTGACAAAAAGAATGATTACATGGATAAAAAAAAACTGACACTAAAGGATGACGATTCTCCTGGAACCTCAAATCAGGCTAGAGAAGGAGACAAGTTATGTGGAGCCATTGCCATTTCATCTACTAAAGATGATAAAGGTAGCTAGGAAAACCAGATGTCTCGTTTCTCTTTACATTATACTGAAGATGGTGATCGATTTCGTTGTGTCCCAAAATTGACTTTTGTTATGACAGGCCATGTCCAAGAACTTGCTTTTGTTGATCGAGTGAAGGCAAAGCTTAGTTACTCTGAGTACCAAGAGTTCTTACGATGTCTTAATCTCTTTTCAAAGGAAATAATCAGCCAACCAGAGTTGCAGTCTTTGGTATGTTTATATGCCTGATCTTAAAGCTTCTCTCTACAAATTGAAATATGAGAAGATTATGAGAGATCTTGTGGAATATTATTGTATCAGGTGGGCAATTTACTTGGAGTATATCCAGATCTCATGGAAGCCTTCAGAGTCTTTCTTGTTCAGTGTGAAAAGAATGGTAACTAGGCAAACTCGTGCTTTCTCTTCTTACGTCGACAAGTTAAAGGCTACGGTCTGACCACCTTTTGTTTCTTTCTGTAGATCGGTTACTCTCTGGTATTGTGACTAAGAGTAAGTCCAGCTATTTTTGTAACATCCGTCTGAGTGAGTTAAAAAGAAATCAGATTCGATCTAATTATTGGATCCTCGTGACTACAGAATCCTTGTGGAGTGATGGCAAATGTCCTCAGCCTACTAAGTCACAGGACAAAGATACAGAGAGAGAACGTGAGAAGACTGAAAGGTTAAGAGAAAGAGACCGTGAGAAGGAGAGGCTTGAAAAGGCGGCAGCGAGCCAGAAATGGGCTAAACCTATCAGCGAACTAGATCTCTCCAACTGTGAACAATGCACTCCTAGTTATCGTTTACTTCCAAAGGATGTATGTTTCCTACGGTTCATCATGAAAGAACCTTCTCCTCTTAAAACATGTTGTTGCTTCAGTAGTTAAAGGTTGTTTTCTTGCAGTATCCAATTCCTATTGCAAGCCAGAAAATGGAGATTGGTAGCCAGGTGCTTAATGATCATTGGGTCTCTGTCACTTCAGGAAGTGAAGATTATTCGTTTACACACATGCGCAAGAACCAGTACGAAGAGAGCCTCTTCCGTTGTGAAGATGACAGGTTAGTGATTAGCTTATTTATGAAAATTTTTGGATTTGTTGAATATTTTTGTTTTTGTTGTTGTGATTTTAGGTTCGAGCTAGACATGCTATTAGAGTCTGTGAACTCAGCCACGAACCGAGTGGAAGATTTATTGGCAAAGATTAACAGTAATGAATTGAAAACCGATACTCCTATAAATATTGAGGATCACCTCACAGGTACACATATAAGCTTATCATAAAGTTTGAGCTCTTCTCTCTTTTTGATTGACATATTGTTTTGTTATTGTCTTGTGTAGCGCTAAACATAAGGTGCATAGAACGTCTATACGGTGACCACGGGCTAGATGTGATTGATTTGTTAAAGAAGAATACTTATCTTGCTTTACCCGTAATACTGACACGTTTGAAACAGAAGCAAGAAGAATGGGCAAGGTGTCGTTCTGAGTTTAACAAAGTATGGGCAGATATATACACCAAGAACTACCACAGATCACTTGATCATCGCAGTTTCTATTTCAAACAGCAGGATTCAAAGAATCTTACCACAAAAGGTTTGTTTTCTTCTTGTTACATCTACCTACAAAGTGTATACACAGTCTTCTTATGTGCTACTATATTTCACTGCAGCGTTGCTGGCAGAGATAAAAGAGATCTCTGAGAAGAAGCGAGCAGAGGATGATGCGCTTCTTGCTCTTGCTGCTGGAAATAGACGAACTCTTTGCTCCAACATGAGTTTTGATTATCCAGATCCTGATCTTCACGAGGATCTTTATCAGCTGATCAAGTATTCTTGTGGAGAAATGTGTTCGACGGAACAGTTAGATAAAGTAATGAAGGTATGGACAGAGTTTTTGGAACCGATGTTTGATGTTCCTTCTCACCCTCAAGGTGCTGAAGACCGAGAAGATGCTGTGAAGACTACTACGAACCAGAATTTAAAAAGTGGTGATGCAAGCGAGGGTAGTCCTCAAAATGGAGCTACTGGTGCCAGCTCTGTTCGGTCAAATGGCCCTCGAAAAGCCGGTGAAAGTTTTCAGTTGCGGCAAGCTACTGGTTCGGATAGAGATGTCATCACTTCCAGTAAGTCCTCAGATGACAACACTCAGAATGATAAAATGCCAAAGAGTCAAACCACACCTGACGAAAGGCCCGAAACCAAACAAGCTGTTAGTATTGAACTTGTGCATAGCTCAAATTCACCACCTGTAGACGGATTGATGCCTCAAAGAAATGGAAAAACCAGCGTCTTATCCATTGTTGGTAAGCACTTTCGAATTTTGATTGATAAGAATACTCTTGAAGATTTTCTTGTGTTTAGATGATGAATGGTGTGTCTTTCTCTTTTTTACTTGACTAGGGGTTAGCAGTAGTAATCCAAAACCTGGTGGTTTAACTAGTGGAACAGAGATGGATTTGATGCTGAATCACGTAAATGGGCCACGCATAGAGGTATCTCCTAATGGGACAGTGGCGGAAACATCAAATAATCAAAGATTCAAGGAAGTGTTTGCTTCTCAAACCAAAGTTGAAAGAGAGGAAGGTGAGCTTTCTCCAGCAGGAGATTTTGAAGAAGATAACTTTGCAGAGAATGACTTGGAAACTCTCAGCAATGGTAAAGATGGAGCTGGAAATAACTTAAACCAGAGAAGTGACAGAGAGAATGATGCTAATGCGAATGATGAATGTGATGAAAGTGCACCAAGATCATCAGAGGGCAGCGGAAATACATCTCAACATGGTGACGTTTCCGGAACTGAGTCTGGTGATGGTGAAGATTGCTACCCTGAAGAAGATATGGAACATAATAACAAGGCAGAAAGTGAAGGTGAGGCTGAAGAAGAAGGTATGTCTGATGCTGAAGGAGATAGGCCTGTGTTACCCATTTCAGCGCGAAACATGTTACATGTGAAGCCTCTGTCAAAGTATGTTCCTCCAGCTTTATGCGATAAGGACAAAGATGATTCTCTGAAAAAGAACTCACGAGTCTTTTATGGGAATGACTCTTATTACGTTCTTTTCAGGCTTCATCAGGTAAACACTTACTACTCAGTCTGCGAATCAATGGGGCTATATGTGTCATGTGAGACTAACTTTTTGTGGTTACTTGTAAACAGATTCTGTATGACAGAATATTATCAGCAAAAACCAATTCGTCCTCTCCTGAAAGAAAGTGGAAGACCTCAAATTCAACAAACCCTACAGATTCCTATGCCAGGTGAGTGTCCCTTGTGATATTTTATGCAGATGAGTCTTTGTTGCTTCTTACACATCTAGTTGTTGGAACAGATTCATGAATGCTCTCTACAACTTGCTTGATGGCACGTCTGATAATTCCAAGTTTGAAGATGATTGCAGAGCAATAATTGGGACACAGTCATATGTTCTCTTCACATTAGACAAACTAATCTACAAGCTCATCAAGCATGTAGGTTTTCCTTTTGTTGTGTTCTTTTCTCTTCTCTTCATCTATTCTTCACTTGTGATTCAACTGACCAATGTGATCCTTCAGATCCAAGTAGTAGCAGCTGATGAGATGGACAGCAAACTACAACAGCTGTATTCATATGAGAAATCTAGAAAGCCTGAAAAGTATCTGGATGCTGTTTATTATGAAAATGCTCGTGTTCTTCTTCCTGATGAAGATATATACCGCATTGAATGTGTAAGAACTACTTCCATAGCTTAGACCAGTCTGGCTTATGATCCAGGACCTTCATAGGCTTTTTATCTTTGTTGCTTTTATTGTCTGCAGAAACTTTCAGCACCAACCAAACTATCTATTCAGCTTATGGAGCATGGACATGATAATAAGCCTGATGTGATATCCATATCCATGGACCCAGCTTTTGCAGCTTACCTACAAAACAAGTTCCTTTCCTGTCAAACTAATGTGAAAGAGAAGCCTCGAATCTATCTAAACCGGTAAGTAGTGAGCATTTACAAAGGATTATTCCATCTTTCTATAAGATAATGGAGGAAACTAATCAGATGCTCTCTTCTTTCCCCTCCAGGAATAAGCGTAAAAATGGTGATGACGATGAACTTTGCAGCACGGATGGAGTTAAAATTGTTAACGGTTTGGAGTGTAAGATAACATGCAGTTCTTCAAAGGTACAGTGCTTTAGTTTCTGCTTAACGCTGGAGTTTCTATGATAACGACTTTAAGCTTGTCTTTATAAAGCAATTGTGTGTGTGTGTGTATATACTGCAGGTCTCATATGTATTTGACACAGAGGATGTATTGTATCGTGCTAAGCGGAGGAAAGTTTTGAACCAAAGCAGTGGTTCTTTAAGTAGTCAAAGGAGGATACAAAGATACCAAAAACTTCTCACCAGCCAATGACATTTTCTCACTTACACTCGGGCAAAATCTCGGTGAATATAGCAACTTGGTACGCTTTTAAAAACGCAAAGTTGCCATTCGTTTAGCTTGTTATACATCAGGATTGAGCTTTTGTCAGAAGAGAAGAAAATTCAAGATGGCTCTCTCTCACTTGTGCTGCTGTTGCCTCTGGTCCCTGTTGAATCTCACTGAAAAAAAAAGGGAAGGAGAGGAAACTCAAAGGAATACTGAAAGGGATTAAGCTTCCAAAATTGGTGTATATAAAGCTTTTGTATGTTGTAACATTAACTCAAAGTTCCTCTTTTGTTTGGTACCTATTCTTTTCAACATTAGTCACCTAAATGAAAAATTTGTTCTGTATCCCATCTTTACCAAGGGTCTCAGAAAAAAATAGGATCAAATATCTCCAAGCTTAAAGGCAAAACTCAATTGGTAAAAAGTCAATGAAGATGTTATACACAGAAGTCACCAAGTATCTGTATAAACAGTCTCTATGAATGTAACCAAACGTGAGAATCATTTTATTGTCTCAGTAAGGATAACACAAACCAATAGTATTGTTTTCTTTGTAACCAGGATTGACTTTTTTTCAAGCTTGCAAACTTATTACAAAGACTTGCATTTTCATTAGAAATCAAGAACCTGAGAGAGTATATGGATATTTCATCTTTTAGCGTCCATGAGAGACAAACGGTTCAGTGAAGGTCAAGGGTGAGACGGAACATGACTCAGGAGAATCATCTGAGATTTCAGTACCATTAGTAACTTCTCTAGATTTCATAATGTCAAGTAAGTTGAGAGGAAGCTGAGCCACATTGTCCAAGAATTGAATGACACTGGACATGCTTGGCCTCATGGCTGCAACCGGATGAGAACAAAGTAAACCGAGTTTCAGAATAAGTGCCACTTGCTCCTCAATATAGTCATGCCCCATCTTATGATCAAGAACCTGCATTATATCTCCGTTACCCCAACACTCTAGCACCCAATCAGTCAGTACCATTTCGCTTTGGGATGATCGTGACAATATGGGTTTCCGACCGCAAGTAATCTCTAGCATTACCACTCCAAGTGCGAATACATCTGATCTTGTACTTGCTTTTCCAGTTCTTGAAAGCTCAGGTGAGATATATCCAAGCGTGCCTTCGAAGTAACAATACTAAGTAATAAGATCTTTTTATAGAGAAAGCTAGAATAGTCAAGTGAAACATTGGCACATAGTCCCCAAAATTAAACAAATAATTTACATACTGGTAAGATATTTTTCTATATCTATAAAAACTCTAACTCCCTCTATTTCATAATATATGATATTTTAGTTTAGTACACAGATATTATGATCTTTACATTTCTTGAAAAAATACTTTTAAAGATATAATTTTAAAATCATACAGTTAATTATAAAAAAAAAACTGTAAAATTTTATTGGTTGAACAATTTCCAATAAAATTAAAGGTAAATTTAAAACTTCAATATATCGTAAAACCTCAAAAATCTTATATTTTGAAACAAAATAAACTTTTCTAAAACATATATTTTGAAACAGAGGGAGTATTAAATTGTCTATAACCCCCAAAGTTTCAAGGTCGGAGTCAGAATGCTAATAGGAATATATCTTCAACACAAGTAAGTAAAATTATAATAAGAAGGTACCTGCCACATGAGAGGTTTGAGGATCAATCCCATGATCATATAGCTTTGCGAGGCCAAAGTCACCAAGTTTTGCGTTCATAGTACCGTCAAGAAGGATGTTTGCTGGTTTAATATCCATGTGGATAATCACTTGGACCCATTGTTGGTGTAGATAGCAGAGTCCACAAGCTACATCTTTAATAATCTTAAATCTTTCTGACCAACTGAAACTTTCCATGAGTTGGTGGTAGATGAACTTATCAAGGCTGCCTTTTGGCATACAATCATACACCAAGTAGAGTTCATCTTTGTGTCTACAATAGCCTTGGAGCCGAACTAAGTTAGGGTGTCTGATTCTGCCAATTGTTGCTATCTCAGATATGAACTCTCTCATTCCCTGTCTTGAATCATGTGAAACCTTTTTCACCGCGATCTCTATGTTGGAAACTGGCAACGTACCCTTGTAGACTTTCCCAAACCCTCCTTTACCAAGAAGCTCACTATCCTTGAAACCCTTTGTGGCAGTGTGTAGATCTTTGTAAGCAAACCTATGTGGACCAAACTGTACCTCCCAATCTTCAAGAACTTCCATCAACTTTTTCTTCTTCAGGAAGAGCCATAAGCCAACACTCAAGACGATGAGTATGGTGACGCCTGATGTAGTCAAACTAATAGTCAAAACCCCCTTGAGGCTCTGAATCCATGGCTGGTTAAAACTAGGAACCTTTGGAAGGCGAGAAGGGTCTATATCTGCAGCCGTCCCATTCATCTTGAACGTCCAACCCAATATATAGTGAGAAGCAGTTAGCGTTCCTGTGGCTGAGGTGAAGCCAACATACATAGATTCAAGCAAGTAAGGAGAAAGATCCTTTTGTAGAGAAAGGAGAGGAAGCTTTGGTTTAGAGACATGAATAGGATGAAGTGTGACATTAAGTTGTTTATGTTTACTGTCATACTCAACCCATAACTGCATAGGATCTCCACTAGCAAGGGAAAGGGTTGTAAAAGTACCATCATCATCTTTGAAATAACCTGCTGAAGCAGCTATTTCTGACTGTAAGCTATTTATGTCTATACCAACATGATTGTCATCCATGTCATCGAACTCAGCGTTTTCAACGGTGTCGAGCTCAACAGCTACAATATGACTTTTGGGATCTCCATTGGTGCTTAAGTTGAAGAGTCCTAGGTATTGTGTTGGATCACCTTTGGAAAAATCTCTTGTAGGAAAAAGGACAAAGGCTAGTCCATGGCCTTTCCTAGCTCTAATATCATGTGAGACTATAGCGAAAACGAATGTGGTGGAGAAGGAGTAGACGTTACCGTTTGAAGAGCCCTTGAATCGAAAGGGAAAATTGTAGAAAACTTGACCAGCTGTTAGTGTGGTAGAGTTAGTAAGCCTGAACAGGCCATGTCTATTTAGATTGGCTGATCCTGAAGTATATAGGTATCCATTGAAGTTAAACTCTCCACCAGTTGGGTCTGAACCCTGACATAGTACGTTCTTGGGGAAGACCAGCATCAGCAAAAAAAACAGCAACAACATACTTAGTTGAAACATGATTTGATTGGTTTTGAATCTTTGATCGTACAACCAAAGGTTTGAAAGAAAAGACTTTAGGTTGCGTCAACGCAGAGAACTGATCAATAAGAGTCCAAGATTTCTAAATGCGGTATTATCAAATTCTTTTTTTTCTTCCTACTGCTCAAGAGTCATAGTCACACTTCTTTAAACAAATACTTTTTTTCCTATTGAATCCTGTTATTATGCAATAATCGTATATTAAAGTATTAGTTACACAACTCACCAACATTTAAATGTGGACATTTGGGAATTTCCATGTATGTTCTTCATTTCTTGATTTGTTTTAATAGGTGGTACCATCATACTTGAAATAATGTGCTGAATCAGCTTTATCTGAAACTAAGCTATTGATGTCAATGCGCACATGGTTAGCATCTATGTTCTCTAATGATTGGTGAAAGGGAGTATCAATTTCAACAGCTACAATATGATTTGTGGGATTACATGTTGCTTATATTGAAAATGCCTCTCACAGGACTAATAACATAGACAAGTCCATATCCTCCATAAAACCCATAATGAAACTCAATAGAGAAAACAAAAGTGGTGGAGAAGGAGTAGACTGGACCATCAACAGAGCCACTAAATCGAAGTGGACAGTTATAGAAAACCTGACCAGTTGTTTTTTTGTGTGTAGAATTCGTTAGTGTGAACAAACCATTCTTGTTTTGGGACTTATCAATGCTTTGAGAACCAAGCGACTCTGCTTGTTGACAGTAAGAGAGTGTTTTGCATTGTGTTTTGTCTTAACCCAAAAATTATATTATACGAATCTATCAACAACCATGACCTTTCAATAAAAAATTCAATACTCAATGATTTCTATTATCTACAAGAAACCTAGACTCTCTCACATATCAGAATCCGATTCACCCGAGTCACTCCTAGACCTATCCGACATGAAGTTTGGAGGCAAAACCGGGAACTTCACGCCTGTCCTCCTCAAAGAAGGCGACCCCAAACTCTCTATCTTCCTCCTTTGCAGATTCCTCATAACATCTAAGCATACTTTATCAACCATGCCAAGAAACTCTCTCACAATACCAAATAAATGAAGTGGATCTTTCCCCTTTACACTACCACCTGCTTGATAATACTCCGTTGTCCGCTTCACAAACTCCATTACTCTCCTCTCTTCTTCTCTCGCCATTTTCACTTCTTCCTCTACTGAATCAAAAAACGTCATCATCTTCTCTACAAACCTCCCTCCTTCACATTCTGCGATCACCTTCCTCGCGTCTTTGGCTCTAACCTCAAGAGCCGAGCAAGTCGCAACAACCGTGTCGTAGTCCACACTTGCTGCTTTCTTCACGTTTGTAAACTCAGAGCTTAGGCCTCCAACTATAGGTAAACCAAGCTTCAAGAACTCTTTCTCTTGCTCTTCTTTAGACATTGCTGCTTGAGGAGTGTTACTACTACTAATGCTATTGCTTCTTCTGATCAAAACGCAGCGTTTACCTTCCGACCTAACCACTTCCTCCACCACAAAGTTAAGCAGAGTAGTCTTCCCATCAACGCTTTTAACGTCAGCAAGTTTCAAAAGCGCGGTTAGATTAAACGCCTGAGCGTTTCCTCTAGCCGTCCCTGCGTTCATCCTATTACCAGCTTTAAGAATAGCCTCCAAAAGCTTCACAAACAAACCGCGAGATCTCAGCTCTTTACACGCTAATTCCAGCGTCTGGAGCGATTCGCTATGATGAACAATCTCTGGATAGTAATTAACCTTAAATAGAAACACGTTTAACCGTGTAAACGCGGTTGGAACCGCTTTGAGGATATGAAACAAGAACGATTCAGCTTCAGCGAGTTTCGCGACGTCATCGTCGAATCCAAGAATCGCTGTTTGTTCTTCTTTCGTCGGAGCTATTCTCGCTAGCCTCTCGAGTGTATCTGCCTCTAAGTCGTGTCCTTCAACGAGCGCTTCCACGAGCTCCTCGAGTGTCATGCCTAGGGACTTGAGCACGATCGCTGAGTTCTGAGATTTTCTTGGATCAAGGATGAAGATTTGTGTAGGCGAGTTTGGTTTAGAGTTGTCGTGTTTTGGGGATTTATTTCCGACAGCGACGTAACCGAACAGAGCTTCCATTAGATCCCCGTCCAAACTGAATGAGCCACGATCGATCTTGTCCCAAACCATGGAATGGTCTGAGTCAGGGTTTACTTTATCCCAATGTAGAGGCTTTAGCTTCACTTGACCAATTCTCGAACTCTCTCCTCTCGGCGCCGGCGATGGTTTTGATGAGGATGATGATAAATCCGCCGCCTTTTTCACCTGCGGAGGAGGTGGTGGTGCTGGTGCACTTTTCTTCACCGGAATTGGCGGTGGAGGAATCTTGGAAGAATCGTTATGGAATAATATACTGTGAGAAGTAGATGATCTTCCTCTGAGGAGAGGAATCTCAGTGACCGGCTCCATTTTTGACTTGGTCTCTTCTTTCTCTTGATTACTACCACTGTTTTCTCCGGTGAGGATTTCCTTCCGGAAGCTTCTGCTTATTCTCTGACTCTGCAGAGTTTTCCAGTACAGCACATCGACACCGTTCTCGTTGAGGATCAGACATTTTAGGTTACCTTCAAACCGCGTGAAACCTTCTCGAGCCAAAACATCCGTCTCCACCGTCGTCGTCGTCGGAGGAGGAGGAGGAGGAGAAATGGTAGGTAGGGGGCTTTCGATGCCGGCTATGTTGTCTCTCCGTCGCCGCCGCGAGATGACGTATTTCTGTAGGAAGAAGAAGAACACTACAGCGAGAATTACGGTACTTGCTGCTGTTATGAGTACAGCTTTCGTGATTTTGCTTCTATCAGAAGAAGACGGAGACGGGTTTATCGGCGGGACACGTTGCGGAGGAAGAGGGGAGAGTTCGTCGATAGGGAAGAAAGTTTCGATGTTTTGAGGTTGTGAAAAGGAATGTAAAGGTAAAAGGGCGACGCATAAGAAGAAGACAAGATGCTGAAACATGGCAACCATGAAAGATTAGCTCATTTACGGAGAGATCGAACAGAGGAAAATTAAATGAAATTAAATTAAAAGTAACGTCTTTGTTTAGTTTCCTTTAGTTTCCAGTTCCGTAAGAATGTCAGGAACATAATGTAAAGATTCGATTTTGGTATGTGTTTTAAATGAGCTGAAGAAGCAGTTGATGTGTTCTTCTTCGAACCTCCTTTTCCCGCGGTTTTGATCTTAGATTTTGTTGGACTGACGGAGATACCCCTTCTCGTGGAATTGATGATAAATATGTTTTGGTTATTAATTAGAGTCTTTTTTACGTGTGATAGACTTGTGGAGCTGGGACTCTTGATGTTATCATTGACTTTGTCTGAAAAGAAGTGCTATGTGTGGAATTTGTATTGTTGTAATTTAATTATCTGTTTCTAGAATTATTTCAGTGCATTAAGGAAGATTAAACTGCATGTCCAAAAAAAGGTAGAAATTTCTGTTTTACATTGGCAAATTTAAATGGATTCACATTTTATTCTAATCTTAAAACTTTATTAAGCCTTTTATTAAAAAAATAAAACTTTATTCCTTAACAAACATTGTTGAAAAAAATTAGAGATTACTTTGGCGTTGCCTTTTTGGTCAACTAAGATTGTTACAAATATGGTATCTTTTTTTTTTTAATAAATCTTATTGGTTCATCCGAACGTTCGGAGAGAAATACAGAATGGACTAATATGCCTAATCTAAATTAAATACTAAAAGATGAACCGATAATGAGCTACTGTCTATCATATAAACCACTTAGAATGGAACGAAACCCAAATTTAGATTAGTCAAATAGTTATAATTTGGTTCCTAGAAAAATCGAATTTAGAGATGTCAATACATACCAAGCATCGAGAGACTACCACTAATTTTATCCTCGTATCAATCGGTCAAAAGAATAAGGAATTAAATCAACGATAGTGGTTCACCGTTGCTAAACAAAAATATGTAAAGTTATTATATTGCGATCATGTAAACGTAAAGCGGATCAAAGAGAAAATAATTAAGAACGTGTGAACAAAAAAAAATGGTGTAAACAGTTTAGCTGTATAATGCTTTTGCTAATCATAAATATAAATTACGCGCATTAAAAAGAAAATATGAACGTGTAAACAACAGGTATGAAATTTTCCAAATAAAAGTATGACCGTTACCGGTCGTCGGGACCTAAAATGTAAAACGCGGTAACACCCTCGTCGAAAGAAAGTATACACAGACTATGGAAATGACGATACTAATCCTCTTTTGTTTACCCGGTCAAGTCACATTATTTCAGCCCCTTATTCTCATGCAATTCAAGCTATTGTGATAGGAAAGTTGACTCCACGAATAAGTAATGAACTTTGTATACATCGTCTTGGTATGTATCTTTCTAGCTAGTAACTCTTCTGACGATATTTCTTTTGGAACTGTACTCTCTTTAAGGTTGTTAGCTGTTTCTCGTTGTTGTGTAGTGAAGCAATTTTTGTTAATCGCTTACATGTCCTTTAGTTTCAGGTAGTCCCTTAATTTAGCCTGATGGAAACTATTTAAATGATTCAAAAGATGCATCATAACCACTATCGTGTAAAACTTTGATACAAAATTTGCTAATGGTTGAGCTTCTAAATGGCCTAAGAAAAGAGCTTGGTCAACTTGGTGCCTTGGTGAGTTGCAATTGCTCTTCCCTAGTCTGCGCGAGTAGAACTGGTTGGACCTTATGTTCCAGAACATATGTGAGTCGTGCATTTCAAAAACTCATTAATATCTTTGATTGTTTTGGTATAGCACTCTCCAGCTATTCAATTGAAACGTTGTAGCTAGTTGCTTTTTGTATAATATCGGCACCAGTCTGATAGATCGTTCGCTATATGTTCTCTTGTTGAATAGGGAAAGAGAGATCATCTTCCTTTCCAGCTATGCACCTTGCATAGAAGAAGACTATGATTATACATAGGCACATCATATCTCTCTATTCATTTCATGTCACGTGTTTAAAAGAACTTTCAGGAACTGATAAAAGAGATAAAAGTCCCAGTGGTATTCTCTCATTACTGTAATGAAGTTTGTCATCTTGCGGCTTGTTGCATTAAAACCATCACTGGACAACCTCTATCATTACCTGTTCAAATCTATGTATTTTGTTATGAGGGTTGATATCAGACTATTATAAATGAGGATAATAAAATGAAGGGTGCATATGATTCCTGCCATATGGTCAGGCTTGTGTGTCTCATCAGAACTGTAACAAGAAAATAAGAGAGTCGACACAAATACCATAAAATGAAGTTGAAAGAGGACAAAACATCTCTATTTTTGTTTCTTGCAAATCAATTTGTGGCCACGTACATACACTAGTGCCCAGTTCTCCAATCAACCATTGTTGGATCCATTGATTATCTGATACTATTCCTTATATTTTCTTAAGATATATCTTCAAAAACCATATGGTATAGAATAATAATGTATCCTTGAAATGAAGACAACCATTAGCTGTGGAGGAGAGCTCTCTGTTTATCCTTTGCTCTACTCAAACTGCATCCTCTTCGCTACATAAACTTTCAAACGGTGTTGATCTGGACTGGTCCATGGACTAACATTTTTAGCATGAAATGATTGTTGTCTACACAATGATGGTAACATGTCACTTCATACGATTTGTTGGTTGTTGTAGTTATTAATGTGGATAAGGACCAGCAGCAACTCCATACCATCATCATTGTAGTCATTTAATTCTTAGGTGAACTTTTATCATCCCATCATGTAATAATGTTTCTAGTGAAATATTTTAATCCAGTATGACTAGATATGTCACTATAAAGGTCATACACTGGACAAGAAATATTCTTCATACAACCACATGAAGGAAGATATTCTTCTTCTTTTTTCTTGATCAAGAAGGGAGATATTCAGATTTCGAAAATGAAGCAATTGAACATGAGTACCGAAGTATACTCTACATCCTGATAACTACCCCCTCCCCTTGATGCTCACTTGGTACTTCTTTATCTCTGATATTCCTAAAGATTTATGATATCATCATGACAATACACCAGTGACGTTGGAATTTCAGGTAATTTCTGTCATGTCTATGTGGACTGGTGTACGATCTGCATATGGTGCAAATATGTGGAACGAGGCACTCAATAAACAGCTCGTTACTCAGGTTTTAACCACGTCTTTTGCTCGTATGAATAAGATATACAGAAATGAAATGTCATTTGATGAGCTACTCATCATCCCTGAACAGGACGAGTGACAAAATGTGTTGCTTTCATCCTTGCAATGTACAAAGCGGATGGTGCATACGGCCCTCTCGCTGATCACATTCAAGGACAAGGCCTTCTAAGTGTTAGGAAAAAATATTCAACCTGTTTATCTCTGTACCTCTGTTTGTGTTTTGTCTACTATAAGTTTATTAATCAAGCTTTACCCTTTTGGTTACAAGGGAAGAAACCCACGTTTGGGAGCAATCCTATGTTAAGTGATTCATTTTATAAAATATAATGTTGGTTAAATATAATACCAAGCAACATGTGTTAGTTCTGATTACGCCAGTAAAATACTTAATTTCAGTCGATTTGTTTGATGTGCAAAGTTAAAAAATAAAAGACGGATAGTAAAAGATAACGCATTAAAGAGTATAATTAAAACCTTGAAACGAAAAGCGTAGAGAAAGAAGAGCATAGATAAGAGAAATGAGGAATAGGAAACTGAAATTAGAAATAATTGTTGCAGAATCTGAAAACCATAAGAGATAATCCTCAAAAACAGAAGCAATTTAATGAAATTTTCTTGAAGAGAGATTAAGCTTCTTCCTTAGGTTTCTTGACAAGCAAGTGTGAGAGACATTTGGTCAATGCTGATGAGGAGATCAAGGAAGCTCTAAGAATGCTAATGAGCTGCAAGGCAACCAAGTTTTTTTGGGTGTGAGCAAGGCAAGCAAGTTGAAATAAAAACAGTTATAACTGAGAATAGAACAAAAAGTAAGAGACCGTTACCTCAACTTTGGAAATGCTGATCTGGTACCTCTCAAGATCACTGATGTCTACTTGCAACTTCTTTAACAAGCCAATGGTGGAAGATGTATTCATGGGTGTTACAGTAAGATCATTAGAAACCATAAACTTTGTATTTTTCTTCATAAACCAAGTCCCACATCCTGATGAAGTTTCAGACTTTACTTTTGGATTATTTGGATACATAGTCACAATTCTGTCACCTTCTGAGATCAACGACCTATTAATGTACCTGGCAACTTTGCAACTCCAATAAGTGTAATTGTTACGAGGAATCAAACATTCATACGGTGTTGATTGGTAAGCATAACTGAGCAGATTATTGTTATAGCAAATGTAGAAGCTAGGAAGAAGTGAGCTCTTCGAAGCTTCTCCTCTACACTGACTTGTACACAAATTGGCAACACATGCCAAAATGAGATTGTCATTAGACAATGTGCAAGCCATCTCAAGAGGGTGAACAAGAAAGCTGAGAAGAGAATCAACAAAGTCTCCGTTGCACTCAGCATAAAGAATCTCCCTATCAAGCTTTCTAACATAAACTTCCACGGAACATACTTTGACATTTTTCAGCGCAGGTGGAGACAACATTCTGAGATTCCTTGTCTTGCAAGTTTTTTTAAGGAACGTGCATGTCAAGGCAGCTTCTGAAGTGAAGAAACATCCTAGTAGAGTCCGTACCTGTTCCATAGAAGATTACTAAAAGCTATAACGTGCGTGAGACAGACAATTGGAAAGGGAAAAAAAAAAACAAAGAGCTGTAACATGAGCAGAACACTGAACAAAATAAATAAATAAATAAAGTACCTCTTCGAACCCTACATCAATTAGGGTTTCCTGCAGATCACTAAAGCCAACATACCCTTGATCATTAAGAACTTTCATGAGAACACCAATAGAGTTTGATGTCACTTTCAAATCATCAGTGACAATGAATGAGGTTCGACAATTGACAAACACTCCATCGTCGTTATTTCCTACCCC